AGGTCTTAAGGTCGTCCTTTGTACCCTGTGTGAGTTTTACACGACTAAATGGGGATGTCTTTCCTGCAGTGAGGCGGTATAACCTACACAAAAAGGCACGACCAGGTTGCGATTTTTTTCCCGTACGAAACATATGTATGAAACTTCACTCGGGCCATTTCGGATTGACTCGACTGAGTTCGATACGAGGAACAAGAGCAGACACTTCGCAATGTCGTGACGCTCGAATTTTACTATTATTCCTCTTTCTATGTTTACCTACGGTAGGCCTATGGTATCTTACGGATTTATGGGATTTAGGTGTGTAACAAACTGTGACCTTCTTGGATGTTATTAAATGTTAGTATAATATCTACAACAACAACAGCTAGTACCCCGTTTTATAAAGTGTAGATAGGTACAGTAATATCAAAGGCTAGAGAGAAAGAGGATAAACTATAGGCCTAACTACAGGCTGACTTAAGTCCTACGAGCTCCTTAAACTATAGACTTAGGTCCCTAGGGTCCTAGGCTGACCCCCAACAGTCACGCTTCACATGACGTTGATTGAAATTTTGAAAAAAATTGAAGCATGAAATAAAAAGTAGATTGCATAAGATAAATATTATTAAATAAATAAAATATAGGCCTACCATTCTGCTCCGTTATTGAACTTGGCCAAACTATCCTTCAAATGTATAATTAATGTTAAATAATAATAATAATAATAATAATAATAATAATTTCAGCATTAATTACCTTGGCCTAACCCTTGCAATGATGAACCATACTATTTACTAGGTCTGACTAGCCAAAGGGAATATATCTTTTGTGTCATTTCCCCTTAACGTCGATTTTTTAATTGTTCTCTAATTCCTCCATTGTCTAAGTCCCCTTAAGGTAGGCCTACAGGTTGGTTTTAGTAACATAATAATAATAATAATAAATAAATAATAATAATAATAATAACAGATAATCATTTCTTCATTACATGTAATTTCTTGGTCTAGCCTTGTAATCAAGAACCTGCAGATTACTATGCCTGATATTAATAACTAGGCTTAGGGCTCATTTATACATTCATTGTTGCTCTGCCATTTTGGCAGGTCTTATGGCATCCAGTATTTTAGAGCTGCCTATTCTCAGCTCTTAGTTTGAAAATAACTGTCACCCTGTTTCGTGATGAAGAAACGCCCCAAGAAACACGATTTTCCTTAGTCTGTGCTTTCCCCAGAAAGTGTATATTTTTAATAGTTAGTAGGCCTAGGTAATTATGCAAAACCCAGACCTAACTAAAAATAAAAATTGTCACAGTATGTAACTCAAGTTATAATAACACTTTTCATTACTCGTACAGCTCAATCAATATATTCATTCCGTTATTTTAAACGACCCATTTAGTATTAGCATGGTAACATCAATGTATTTTAAAAAATTAGACATGCAACGTTCTCTCTCAGAAGTTGTTTTGTAGACGTTTATCTGTGGATGACCTTTTGACCTGAATTCTGATTAAGATTTTCGGGTCGATTCATTCGAGACGGCCCGAGTGGAGTTTCATGTAAATGTTTCGTACGGAAAAAAAAATCGCGTCCTGTTGAATTGCCTTGACGCAGAGTTCCCGGAACGCCGCCCTCAGCGGCGAGTGCGAAGCACAACTCAGGGTCAAAAGTGGAACGTGAAATTTGGATATGGTTTTGTAGTCAGATTTGCGAGAAAAACTTCAGCTACCCGTATTTCTCGACTACCCGTATTTCTCGACTGAGACGTTAGTAGGAGCTGTAATTTGTATGGCAAGGAGATTGAGCAACCCTTCATTCATATTAAGGGAATTTACGCCCAGAAACTTTGTAGTTATTAATATTTTGGTTATAATAGAAAATATTCATTTTTTGGTGACGTCACGCTCACGTTAGTTAGCATGCATACGTCATAAGCTAGATACGTCACCTTTTCCTGGTAAGGCAAACTTTCCCGGCGCGCTTTTATGGATAAACAAACACCACTGTTTTGCACATGGATGCCTTGCCCAGGCCAGGGCTACAAGAGCCGCATTGTTAGCATTGTATAATACTTAAATAAGGTACCTCTGCAAATGAATTATTCTTAGTTATTTTTTTTCTTATTTTAATTTATTTCTTCCGAAAGTGTACTTTCTGTCACATATAATTCCACTGCCTAGGCCTATAGTCTTTATGCCTCATCGTCCCCCGCTACACAGTACATCAGCAGCCCCTCCCCATACAGTACAGACGTTTGCTAGGTAACAACGTGATTGCACCTTCCTTCCCAGGTGTTCATGTAACATTGACTTAATTGTTAGCTAACCAGTTGTGTGTATTTCGCCGCGGTACTCATTTTCACAAAGCATTTACATCCCCTCTTGGAAAGAGGGATTCGAAATAATTGTCTCCATATCTTCGCTAATTAAATTAATCACCGTAATTTAGCTTACACTTATGAATTTAGGGAGCACTTAAAATGTGAAATAATAATTTCACTACCCGACAAACTCCGAACTTTATTCATTCATTAGGCCTACATAATAGTTTCATATTGCTGTACTATATACTCCAACATCACTGGCGCATGGTAACAACCGACTGCAGACCATTTCCGGTCACACATTACTCTCCATAACACAGCACCCCCTAGTTCCGTCACCTCTGGGTATACAGTAATAATTATTATTGAGAATATTGTTGCTTTATTTTAGGTGGGAGAAAGGTGCTTATTAAACAACCATTAAATTAAACATTCGGTATAATTTAGCATAATTTCCCATCAGCCCTTGGCATATATTGATTTGGATCACTGGTCACAAAGAAAGGTATAGGCCTAGCATTCAATTGCGGACGCATAAATAACGCTAAATGTTTTGATTTTAAAGAAGATACAGAATAGTTAATGTGATCTACTGTACCAGTATTTTAATGATGGAATCGGTAGTTAGAATGGGGGATTTTTTGTCTTTCTTAAACAGCTTGTTTACCACCTTCCCATGCTACAATGTAGCTTGCAACAATAGAAATCCTGATCATTTTACTTGTAAATACTTGCATAATTCTGAAAATGTTATATTATTTTTTAAAATCCAGTCCATCCCCCCACCCACCCCGTCACTTTTTCATTCACACCCCGACAAAACACCCTCTCTAACCAGGCTTGACGAATAAAACCCTTCTTATGTCTACTAAATTCATCAGAACAAATAGGGATGCCATAATCAGTACGTGGATGTTTCAGCTTTATAAAGGTACAAACCAATTTTTCCCCGGGTATCACTAATTAACTCTCTGGAGTTTCGACTTAAAAATAGAAGATTTTTGTCCCCCAAACTATTTCCAGCAAACCGTAGAAAATTTCATCGCAATAGCTCAATGGAAACTGTGTTGTTGCTAAGGAGTTTCTTTGACTGCTGCTGTGATTTTTCTTCAATTTCTTCTGTACTTTTAAAGCCCTTTTGCTCAGAATTTTATAGGCCAGTTTATAGAGAATAATTATAATTCAAAATAGCTTAACTTTACACATAATTGTCCGATTAAGGTCATTGAGCCCTCATTATAAAGTTAATGATGTGCTCTATTAATTTACATTAAAAAAACATTTTGATAGAGTACGAGTTTACAGCCCTTTTGTAATTTTGGGTCACAATTATGCTCTCAGACCTCAACTAACTTCAAAATCCTGTAGCTGTGGATAGAGATAGCGGGGCTCCACTCTTCATTTACTACCAAATTTGTCAAGTGCTCATACTACCCGCACCATCCCCCTCACTATAATGGCCGGACCACTTGCAAAATGCTTCCGACGGCTATGGGCTAAGATGAATCATGGGGATGGGAGGAAGGCGATGGCCCAGGAATACACGTGTTTTTTCTAGGCCCAGACTCGATTTTGTTTAGAATTTCAAATGAATCAACCATTCTAGTGCTGCGTATTATTAATATGGTCTAATGTCAAAGCAAGCTATAGATAGCAGAGTAGAGATCGAAGTTGATATGTGTGTTTTTTTTGTTTTTTTTTTGGAGACTTCGGTGTGAAATCATAGAGAAAATAGACTATTTTCTCAATGGTAAGATCTTGTAATGTTTAATTGTGTTTTCTCATGATTCTAGCTAGAGCATAAGCAATTACAATATAGTAGTTATGTTAGAAATCCCGTACTCTCTTCTTCCTTCCTGCTCTCAACTAATTACAGCACAGTGAGTGCTTACTAATCGGGCCGCATAGATTTTGCGGGCAAAAACTTTTGGTGGGAAATTAGAAATTGAACGACCAATGAAAATGAAGGTGATGGGTTAACTCCAATCTTGAGCCTATTTTGCATACATCGCCGTATATAAATAGGCTACAGCAGCTGTATGCGAAGGAATTAATTTGATAGCAGAGGCTCCTATTGGTTAGTATAGTATAAGAAGTGAAAGAAAGGTTGTGCTTACTTTTTAGTTTCAGAATGTATATACACCGTACAAGGAAGCATAATTATTTGACATTTTATTAAGTCAATAACCTGTTGAAAATAAGGAAAGAATCATGATCCAACAGCAGGGAATATCGTTGATATATTATTGAACACACGTTCAACCACCCCATCAATAGCTGGATATATGGACATACTGTATATGTATGTATATATATATACATATATATATATACACATATATATATATATATATATATGTGTGTGTGTGTGTGTGTGTAAGACGTGTCCTTGTGTTTCAAAACAATATAATATATAGCGTTAACAGTATATAAATATATATATATATATATGTATATACTGTATATGTCGTTAACAGTATATAAACATGTATATATATGTATATACTGTATATATATATAAATATATATATATTTACCGATATGAGTTATATATATATATATATATATACGAGCAATTATACTGTAACTATTAAAAATATAACAACTAATATATATCTGTGTACATAGCTTAGCCTTTCCTTATTGTTATTCCTTTTTACATGGAGAATTAGAACCTGTCTCTTATACACATCTTAGTATAGAGTGCTCATGCCATATATTGGTAATTTGTAAATAAAGTTGTCAAAACGTAGTTAAGAATAATGAAAGCCACAGTGTCAGGTTGCCAGTTCGTATTGGAGCTTGATGTACAATCAGCAACAGCTGTAGAAAAATCAAAAAAAGTTCGTGACAGTCGGGTATCACAATACCTCAGTTTTACTTAACCCAATTAAGAATTCTTCTAGATTTACCTAAAACCAACTTATAAATTGCAGCGTCATTGTCCTGTGATGAGACAGCCGCCGTAAAAAGGTAATCATTTCTAGATCCCACCCCACACACACAAATACATTATATAAAGTTACTTCGTGATAATAATAATACAATTTATAAATCTTACTATTATTATTGTTATTATTAAGATTTATAAATTGTTCTACATATATATATATATATATATATATATATATATATTGGTATAATATAATATATATGTATGTATATATATCTATCTATATATATATATATATATACATATATACATATATATATATAGATAATATATATACATATATATATACACATAAATATACACATATATATATGCACATATATATACACATATATATATACACACATATATATAGACATATATATATATACACACACATATATATATATATACACATATATATATATACACACACATATATATATACATATATATATATATACACACACACACATATATATATATATACACATATATATATACACACACATATATATATATATATACACACATATATATATACACACATATATATATACATATATATATATACATATATATACATATATATACATATATATATACACACATATATATACATGTATATATATGTGTACATATATATATGTATATGTGTACACATATATATACATATATATATATACACATATATACACATATATATACATACACGTATATATACATACACATATATATACATACACATATATATACATATACATATATATACATATACATATATATACATATACACATATATATACATATACACATATATATACATACACATATATATATGTATATATAATATTTGTCTACAACAATGTTTCTGTACATATCACATCAAGGAGCAGTCATATTATGACTGTTCTGTGATACATATAAATAAAGAGTATTATCCATGAAAATCAAGATAGCTCACCGACTTGACAGAGACTACCAGTGAAACAAGGAGGACAATCACAAGTATAAAGAATACAGTTATCAGCATCAGCAACACAGGTTCCTCCATTTACACATTTGCTGTGCATACAGATATCAACCAATTCTAGCAGAAATGAACATAACAAACCAAATATGAAATAGAAAACAATAATTGTATTTAAGGGCTATATTATAAGACGGTGTATTTTTTAACAACAACGCAAGGAAACAAGCAAAACAAAATTCTCAGAATTAAGTGGTAAATTAGTTTGAATAACAAAATCCTGATAAGCAAAAATTATTCATATTTTGAGAAACGTTTTTATCATACCTAAAATAGTTGGTTGTTTTTTAATTTACCTGTTTCACAGTATTGACCGTAGTAACATGGAGGACACATACAGAGGTAGTTAGAAAAGGTACCCGGTACTTCAAGAGCAACACACGTAGCATTACTATGACAACTATGATTATCACAAGCACTCGCACCTTAGAATGGGAAAGAATGGGAATGAATGACTGGAATTAAGCAGCTGAAATAATGAGTAAGCAATCCGCCAAACGATTTATTTCGACTTAAGGCCAAATAAAAAAAATATTGTGTTGGCCACGCCCGACCGACTCAAAATGTTCAAAATTGAGTGTCGGCATTTTAGTGGGTTTTTTTTTTAAAAATTTTTACATCGCACAAAATATTTTTTTAATGAGCTAAAATGGCTGGAATAGGCCTATCTTGCGACAGTGTTAAGCGATCGTTTTGCTCTCCAATATACTATAGATTTAAAAATGGTCTTTGTTGTATTTTTGTGTATTTTCTACTTGTATAGGCATAAACAATTTTTGGTAAACAAAAAAATAAAATTAAAATATATGTATGGGACGCTTGATTAAAATCAATTTTTCAGTTTCTTCTGAGTAAGGCACAATCAAGGAAGCATCTTCATTCACCAAAGGTAATAAAGCAAACGCAAACTAAACCTACAGCAACTTACGTGTACCATAATGCATTTATGAATTGGAAATGATTATTTTATGAAATATTTGTGTAACCTAATATTTAGGTTGTGGTTTAAAATGCTTACAACGAAACCTATCATACACAAACCTATTTCACAGTTGGTTAGAGAAAAAGAAGCTTGGCACGAAAATGAGTGAGATAAAGCAAGATCATTCATGGGCGAGGGCCGGGGGGGCCTGGGCTCCCCCACTTTTTGGCAAAAAATATATAAATTCCATGGAGAAAAAATTGCAAGAAAAGAAAGAGGGAAGGAGGAGGAGAGGGAGGGGAAAGAGAGTGTTTATCAATCTAAAAGACATTTTATAAGTGGGGAAAGCTCATTTCCAGTCATCTACAAATCCAAATTTTCCCGGGGACAACCCGAACCTGCCTTTCTCTTTGGGTTCATTGATTCATGAAATCGTTTTTAAGAGGCGGAAACCTTGAATTTTGAAAAACTTTAAAAAGTCATTAAAAGACACCTCAGAAGTCGGGAAAGCTCATTTCCCGCCATCTAGGAATCCAAAATTTTCCCGGATGTGTGGGACTGTCGAAGGCAGCATCTTTTTGAGATTGATTAAAAAGAACTGCCAAATTAAACAAACTCTTCTGTATATGACATATTAGTAAGTAAAATGCTCCTTTATAATAACTTACCTGTTTCACAATTGATACCAGTATAGCAACCGACACATGCACACACATAGTTTTCACACGAATCCACCTGAAAACACACACCTTCATTTAGACATGGGTCATCTGCACACGTTTCAGCTGAAAAACAATTTTAATAGGAAGGAAAACAAAGAATTTATACCATGATTTAGTTTTAGTTAAAAATCATTTCGCTGATTTGTTTTCAAGTCTTTGGTTATTGCACCTAAACAGACAGGATTGTGAGCGTTACTAATTGATTGTTACTAATTAGGGTGATGTCAAACACACAGGTGGCAGTAGTAACGACAGAGATGAAGATGAAGACAAGAATAAATAAGATGAGAAATAAGAAAAGAAAAGAAAAATGACAGAACAGCAGGAGGAGGCACACCTCACTGTAACTACAATATTTCATAATTATGCGTAGACGAACAAATGGAAATCTTGAAAAAAGTTAAAGGCCTAGTTCAGATGTGGAGATAAGCCAGGCTTAACTTTGCCGGGCGTTCAGACTAGCGGGGTTAGCCAGGCGAGAATTTACATAATAATGAACCGTAAGCAGGAAACGTGTTTCAAAGCATTGCTCACGAAACGTACATTCGCTCACAGCGTACGTAATTTAATGCTGATTGGTCATTTTGTCACCCGAAGTCAGTGGAAGACCCCCTACCCCTGCAACGATTAAAACCCGGCTTAGAAAAGTTAAACACGGTGGCAAGCCAGGCCTAGTTACTATAGGAACACAGCCCGGCTTGAGATAAGCCACCTAGTTCAGACTGGCTGGTGGATAAACCCGGTGAGTTGAGCACCTAGTCTGAACTAGGCCTTAGACAAGGCTAAAATTGTATTAATGTATTTATTAGAAAGACAAATTTGAGATACGTTACTTGCCACAGATCTTCGTACAGGGTGAACTGAAAAACAAAAGGGCATCTAAATATTTCAGAAATAATAGCAAAATCTAAACAACAGTATTAATGTTTACATTATAACTAATTAAATATTTACAAGCCATCCCCATTCAGTCGGCATACTGTCTCCCTTTTCATTACCCAATCTTTATACATTTACCAGATTTTTCAGTCTTACATTGTTTAGCTAGCCTTTTGCCTTTTGCGATATTTTCTTTACAGGCTTTAGTTACAGAATTATTCAATTCCGCATTGAGGATCGGATTCAATTCAACTCTAGCCACTGCGTACAATGGCTCTAATTGGCTCTAGTGGTTAAGAAACAACGCTAGTTAATTTGAGAACATACTGAGCACACATCAGGTAGAGGAACATTTAAATTTAAAGTTGCTGAAAAGTTATTAAAATGGAAGAAACATTATATTATAGTACTTATAAATTATCGATACTGTATTGATTTGTAACAATAATAAATATGATTGCAGTATATTGACTTTTTTTGAGAGACATAGTTTGATTCAGTAGACATAACAATAGTTTGATTCAATTCAATAGACATAACTACATTATTAACTAACTTTGCTGTTTAGAATCCTATCTCATTTATTTTTGTGCCACTAATTTGTGATTTTTACCATTAGTATTTAATATATATGAATAAATGAAATGCCAAAATCTGCTGCAAGCAATGCAGCCACCTAACAAAAAGGCCTTGACCCTAGGCTACCTCAGGCCTACTAATTTGAGGTAGAGTCATGGTGTACAGGGTAAAGCTTGCCAATTTTGGTGCTTTTAACGTTTTAAGGGCATATTTTTCATTATGAACATATTCTCTTCAAGAAAAAAAAATGTTGATATGAAATTCCTGGGGCCATGGCTTTAGCCAGTGGGAGCTCATAGATTTTACGCCACTGAATTAAAATTTGGTGGTGCTGTTGTAAATTAAAATAGATTAATACACTTACCATCCATACAGTTGGTTCCAGTCCATCCTGGTGTACACTTACACATGAAGTATTCTTGTTCTCCATGTTCAAATGGATGGCATGTGCCACCATTTCCACAAGGATTGGGAGCACAAACACTGGAATAACCTGGCAACTCAAGAGACACTGAAAATATTAACCAGTATGTGGATGCATATTAATCAGGTGAACTATATAAAATGAAACACTGGTAGTACATTATTAAACAAATGAAATTAATAATATAATGAAAATAATACAATGAAATAAATTATAGTTTAAATTAAGTTTAAAACAGTTAATGACTCCATGTAAAAAAAAATCCCGAAAGTTTAAATACCTAATGTAAAAGACATAAAAATAGGAAGAAAAACATGGATTTCGATAGTCTTACTTACTGTAAGAACAGTATTTTTCACAACTGTCTCTGGTTTGTTGTCAGTTTTAAAAGATATTCAGAATGCTTTACATTCATATTTTAAGTGGTGATTTTTTATCAAAATGTTTATAATAAAAAAAAGAAATGTTAGACAAGAAAATACTCTACAAACTTGAATAGCTAATTCAAACATGAAAATACACAAGCTGTTTACCTTCAACATCTCGTCGTCTTCTTCCGGTGGCTGCAAATGAGAAATGGTACACAAGTAAAAAATAATCATGATTTTATATTATACTTGATTTGACAGTGTTATAAAAAAATATATTTACTGTGTATCATTAGTGCTGATTTCTGTTAATGAAATACCAAGGAAAATAAAACTATTAAATAAACTTATATGTACCTGTTTGGCAAATGTACATAGTTGGCGTGAAAAAGCACTCTTGTCCAGCAGGGCAGGGATTGTTGTCACAAGGAGTTGATGTTGTTCCTAGATAGTAGAAAACGATATAAAATATTACAGTGGCTTCCTTACTTTACTACTCAACAATAATTTATAAAGATGATTAAGTACCTGATCCTCATAGAAGCAAAGAGTATTACAATTACATTCAAAATCCTCAAAAACATTTTATTGCTTTTAGCCTCCGAAGGAAAAAAAATATTTTCTTAAATTTTAGGTTTCTATTTGCTACTGTTGTTGTTGTCTTACTTAAAATCCACAAGTTTCAGTTATTTCTTACCTGTTGTTTGACAGTTTGTGCCAGAGAAACCTTCAGAGCACATACACATATAAGTTGTAGAAGTTGTGGTGCACATTCCGCCATTTTGACATGGATTTGGATTACACGGACTTGATGCTAAAAAACGAAAAAAAAAAAAAAATAAATAAATAAATAACAATGACAGGAGTTAATTACGATGGTGGGGAAACTGGATAGGCATATGGATGGACAAGTAAATACCAGAATATAATAAGAGAGAATGAAAGTTTGAGGACTGGAATGCAGTTACTACATGATGACAATCAATCAGTCAACAGATTTATAATGAATGATGAACGATTGATCGATGATTGATGGATGTGTAGAATGACTGATGGATAATCGATGATGTTTATGATGATGGTAGTGGATGATGATTGGCCTTATGTGCCTCATGGCACGGAGAGGATAGATGAGGTAAATGGATGATGATAGATGAAGATGGTGTGCATACAAATGGCGTCTGTTCATATGAAATAGATGCGTACTGTATACTAGTTTATTTTTTATCTTTCCACAAAAGTGCCACCATCATCATGTACCAATTGTATATAATCTCCAAAATGACAAAATTATTAATATTATTTTATGTAATGTAAAATATAAAACTTACAGGTGATTGTTCCACAGGTAGTACCACTATAGCCTGCTGCACACACACACATAAAGGATATTCCAGATGCCATACACATACCATTATTTTGACATGGGTTTGGATTGCAAGCTGTACTTACTGTATATGCAACAAGAAATATCACTGGTCAAATAATATTAAAATGCATAAGGAAGTTAATGATTTAAGGCAAGCTCAGATTTTTTTTTTGCCGTGAACATAAGCAAACAGTATCTGAAGAAACATCTTGTTCAGAGGTAAACAGGATCGATGCAGATGGTAGCAAATAAGAGGTGCCTTGTTCAGCACTAGACAGTAGAAAGTGGTACCAGCCGCTAAGGAAGCTCTTGTTCTGCAGTGGACAGACCCCAGCTGGAGGTGGTACCAACAAAGGACATCTTAAGAAGTGGACAAAATAGCACCATTAAGGTAGGATTTTCCTGTAATATAAATAGCTACCAGCTGTGTATAAATTGTAAATTATAATTTACCTAAATGAAATTTACTGAACATAATTAATGTTTTGCATATTACAGGAGCGGATCCAGAGATGTCTGAAAGGGGGGCTGAAAGTGGGGTCGATCGAGACAACACCACCCTTAGGGGTCAGGGCTTTCCTGTTTTCTAGATGCTCGAAAATAACCTCTGGGGTGTTTTGGACAATCAATTATTGCTTTTCTTTCCTTTTTTTTTCTTTTTCCTTTTCAAAAGGGGGGTGGGGGGGATATGCCACTGAATAGATGAAGTGCAACGTGTTAGGGAGGCTTTCCTTTCTTTCTGAATTGATCAGACAGAACTGGTACTTGGAATGGAGGTCCTTTTTGCAATGTGGTCATACTTGTGAGAAATCATCAAAATTAAGTTGCCTCCATTAGGAAGTCCCTCATATAAAAGTGGTCAAATGAAAGTGGTTCTAATTAGACGGAGGATTGCTTTCGGATTTTGTCAGATAAAAATAAGTGGAATTGGTTATGATGAAATTGTTCAAAATCCAGTGTTCAACTATATCATACAATTACAACACATTATGACTAAATTATTATTTATTATTTTCTAAGAAAGTGAAACCCAGTGTCACATACTGCTTCCCATTGCACCCTCGAACAAGACACCTGGTCATTGGATACAGAATCAATCATTCACATTGTGCAAGCCCCTCTGCCACTTGGGGAGTATTCCTAGTTATCAATCAGCACTACTAATTTAATTTTGAAACATTTATCTCCTACCAGGCACCAACTTCTACTCCTTGGTGAAGAGAGGCAAATGCAGATAAAGTGTCTTGCCTAAGAATAAAAACAGTTTGACGAGCATCAGTCCTAACCTTCCGATTGAAGCTTAAAGCCTTACACGATGTGCAACACACTTCTATATCTAGGTATTGGAGTAGTCAGGGACGGATTTAGGGTCCCCCTTTTGGGAAGTTAAAAAAAAAAGGAAAAGAAAAAATTGGTCGCCAAAACGCCTAAGAGGTTATTTCTGGCCGTCTAAAAAAACTAAAATTTTGTGGGGCATGCCCCCTGACCCCTTAGGATAGTGATGTCTCGATCTGCCCCACTTTCGGCCCCTTTTTCGGATCCCCCTTTTGGACATCTGTGGATCCGCCCCTGGTTGTTTTTGGGCGTTTAGAAGAAATGATAGGAATTGAACCCAAGACCTGGGAATGAAAACCAAGAACTACCAAGCTACAGTGCCTTCACTACAATGTGTGATTATGATATGTTATGATCATTATGATATGTTATATGATATGTTATGATCATTATGATATGTTATATGATATGTTATGATCATTATGATATGTTATATGATATGTTATGATCATTATATGTTATGATCATTATATTTTATATGTTATATGATATGTTATGATCATTATGATATGTTATATGATATGTTATGATCATTATATGTTATATATGTTATGATCATTATGATATGTTATATGATATGTTATGATCATTATGATATGTTATATGATATGTTTTGATCGTTATGATATGTTATATGATATGTTTTGATCATTATATGTTATATGATATGCTATGATCATTATGATATGTTATATATGTTATGATCATTATGATATGTTATATGATATGTTTTGATCATTATGATATGTTATATGATATGCTATGATCATTATGATATGTTATGATATGTTATGCCATTGTGATATGTCATGATCATTTATAAAAGAATAAAACTGATTTCAAATGGGATAATTTATACTATAGGTCTAATTGCTGTGTTCAACAGAAATTCAAAAATATATTAAAAATGAATTACTGGCAGATTCACAACGAGTGCCAATATATGAGCTGGTACATGTACAAGAATATCCCTCAGCTCTAAGATCATTACAAGTCCCACCATTAAGGCAAGGAGCACTGCTACATGCAGTACTCACTACATAAACAACATGCAATATTATTTTATACACAAAAAAAGCAACATACCATATTAAACATATTTGACCAATTAACCATAAATAATCCCAGCATTACTGTACATAAATATGTTATTATTTCAAACTGAAGCATTGGTAGGAGAACAGAATAGATAATTTGATCTTTCAAATTGTATTATTTATACTATACAATTAAACTTGCCTAAGTTGATTAATTCCTAAGTCGATCTTATTTTACATGCCAAATTATTGTGTTTTCCATAAACTAACAATCTGTAATTTTATTAAGTCAAACAGTATTTTAATGCCATTTTGGATTCGACTTAGGCAAGTTCAACTGTAGATCTAATTGCTGTGTTAAACAGAAAATGAAAAAAAAAAATTACCAGCAGATTCACAATGAGTGCCAGTATATGAGCTTGTACATGTACAAGAATATCCCTCAGCTCCAAGATCATTACAAGTCCCACTGTTAAGGCAAGGAGCACTGCTACATGCAGTACTCACTACATAAACAACAATAAACAACATAGTATAGTGGAAATCAGGGTCCCTGCGACCATTTTTCAGGGACCAAGGTTTTTCTACTGATTTAGAATCAATAGGCCGGGTATATATAACAAATTGAGAGGGGGACGGGGAGCAGAACAAATTTTTAAAATTCAGATTGGATTTATTCAGTGTAAACACCAAGGAGCCCACGAAAGTCTAGAAGACGACTTATTTCCAGTGGGGTCCTTCTGGTGATGATTGGGCAGTACACTGGGAGATAATCCCCTACTCTTTTCCGAAGAGTGTACTGCGGTCTTTAAAGTGCACATTGAATTTAAAAATGGCTGCCATCCCAGCTTATTGAAACCATGTCAACATGATGAGATACCAAATTGACCATTTTTTTTATGAGAATTCGTGGAATTATACTGCAATATTCGAGACCATTTTATGGCGGCCATCCTGAATTTCAAAAATGTCTGCTATTCTAGGTTTTTATAACATATCCCACTGAATTTGGTGACCCCAATAACATATACTTAGACACCAGATTTAGCCTTTTTCATTGGGTATAAGTAAAGTTATAAGCCACTATGTAAATTATGGCGGCCATTTAAAAAATTTCCACCAATAATTTGTTCTGCCTTTTTGAGGAGGTACCCCCGCCCAATTTTATATTTATACCCTAGTAATGCTAAATCAGTAGAGAACCTTGGTGCCCGAAAAAAGTCACAGGGCTCTAATTTTCACTATACTACATGAGTATTACAAAAAAGCAACATACAATATTATACATTTATGTGAGAAATTATCCATAACAATCCATATGTTAATAAAATATTATTATTATGTGCTACCCACATAATAATATATGTTAATCAAATGATAGTATACCAACCCCTAAATACAAGCTTTGATAAAGGCTTATTGTTAAGGTTAATGAATGCATTTTGAGACATACTTCTATCGATACGATTGGTATGTATACAGTATTACACAAAACAATAATGGCAAATTATGGGCATATAGAATACATAAATATATACTTAAATAAATAGAAATCATCTTTTTTTGAACATTAAAGATGAGTGTGAAAAAGAGACCTTCTGCTATATGCAGATGCATTAACCAAATGGGCCATTGAGGATTCTGTTTGGAATTTAAATCTGATTAAGCTTCTCACCCTCCACACTCTTTGTGCTGAGATCTCTCTTATTTTCTACAGTAGTAATTAACATTTTATACAACAATAATCGGTTAGTGATCATTTGTCATCATTTACACGAGAAATTACAATAAAAACATTAAAGAAAACAACATCAAAACAAATTTCAAAAACAAGAAGATAAATTTGTCGTTTTCACTTCCTGTTAAATCAATATTTACCAAGTGTTTCGCAACGTGTGCCAGTATACGAGGTTGGGCATGTGCAGGTGTATGATGTTACAAAATTGTTACATACTCCTCCATTAAGACAAGGAGAACTGTTACATGGATTTGATGAAACTGTGGAGAAAAATATATATTCCAATTTCACTAAAGGTTTTCAATTAACATGATGATCCACCAACATCAGACTATTACATGTTCTAAATTAAGGCAAGAGTACAACTACTGACTACACAAAAAGAACAGCAACTATGCCAATGTTACTTGAAATATAAAACAAAGCATACAGCATACAATTAAGCACATTTGTTGCATAAATCATTAGTTTTCCAGTGTTTAAGGGGTATTGTCAAGAAAATAAATCAAGATGCAAGATAAGTTATTTTTTGAAATACGTAATATAAAAAAAAGTGGTAAACTTTAATATATGGCATGATTCTGAGTTAAAAAGACATTTACTGACATATTAAATCACATCTATTCTCTATAACAAAGTAATTAACATTTATACAACATAAATTGGTTAATAGAATATGAGTATGGTGACTCCGAAAAATGACAGACGTGAGGCCATAGTTGATTCTACGTTTCGTTCTTTATTGGAA